TTTTTTTTTTTTGTGAACACGTGCAAGCAGAAAGTTTCCTGCCTGGAGAAATTCCTGAATCAAGCCTTAGGGGTTGGGAGCCTGGCGCAGGTGTTTTCTGAGAATCTGCAACTGCCAGCTAACTGATTAGCCTGAGTTTTATTCCCATTACACAGATGAGAACACAAGGTCAGAGAGGGAAACTAATTCTCCAAAAGTCAGGAGTGGTTAAAGAAAAAAGCCTTGGGAGTACAGGTGTCTGCAGAAATTCGTCTGGTTCCCTCCCTTTAACGGCTGTGTCCCCTAGGGCACTGTGTTAGTTTGCAACAAAGCCCCTGACAAAACTGACTGATGGGTGGGAGGATGGGAGGGTTTATGTGGGCTCACACTTGGACGACAAAGCCCATGTATTTGGGGCGGGGGCGGGGGGGGGCATGGTGGCAGGAACACGAGGTCACAGTGCATCTCCAGTCAGGAAGCAGAGGCAGCTGGAAGGATGCTGGTGCCCAAATCAAACTTTGCTTTTTCCACACAAGCGCGTGCACACCTAAGTACACATGTGGAGATCAGAGAACAAGTTTGTGGAAGTGGCTCTCCTTCCAGGGATCAAACTGCAGCCCTCAGGTTTGGTGGCAAGCCCCTCTACCCACTGAGCTGCTTCCGTTTTTAGTCAGCCGAGGTCCCAGTGAGGACAGTTGTTGTCCATGTTCTTCGGGGTGGATATTCCCTTCCCAGTCAAACACCTTTGGAAACAGCCTCATCTACATGCCTCTGGGTGTGTCTCCTGGGTGATTTTAATTCCAATCAAGTTGACAATGATTAACTGTCCCGAGCTCGGCTCACCCTTTGTAGCCTTGGTGGCCTGGTCTGTACTATAGCATCTACCTTCCATCACAGGTAAATGAGAGAAGATGTGAACTAGCCAGATCCTGCACTGGTTCATTTGTCTGGAAGGAAGGTAGTGAGAACCCATTCCAAGCCAGCTCTTGTACCAAGAGTAGCACATTATCTGTGCCTTGGGGACAATGGAGACTCCTGGGTGTTGGGACAGGTAAAGTGACAATAGATGATCAAGGCTGTAATGAATGGGCAGGAGGTGGGGATGCTGTGGGGGTGCTTTCACCACTGAGCCTTGAAGGATAGTTGGCTTTGGGAGAGGGAGAGATTTAGACAGGAAATGTCATAACCAGAGTGGAGAAGTTCATGAATTCCAGAAACAAAAGTGATTGAGTTGGGCTAGAACTTAGAAATGGAAAGGCTACTGGTGGCAAAGACGACAGCACTGCGGATGGTGACTGCCAGGGCTTTGGGGAGGGCAGTGACCTGAAAGGATTAAGCATATTTTTGGGTGTGGAATGTCTGTGACTTGGTTGTGGGGTGCATGTGGAGTAAGGGGATGGATGACTCACTGATGCCGGGTACCTGACTAGAAAGTTGTTCCCTGAGATGGGGAGCACGGGGACGGGAGCAACCCTGGAGAAATGATTCCATTTGAGTTACTGCCTGTGGGGATCTGGAAGAGGGAAGTTCAGGGTGCTTCCGCCCTACGAATGGCAGTTCCAGGCTTTGGGCATCATGGCAGACTGCAGATGTCTTCCTGGATAGGGGGAGGTCAGAGCCCAGGAAGACAGCTGAAAGGGAGAGGGAGTCCAGAGAATCAGGAGCAAAGAGGTTGTCATGGGGTGCTGGGAAGCTTGGGGGGCATTGCCAAGTGGGATAAATCAAAAAATCTCTGGTGCCTGACTGTATTCTGAGGCACTCGAGTTAGGACTCCTTTGGCATCAGAGGAGAAGACCCGCTAAGCAATGGAGTGGGGAGGAGGCTGAGACAGAGAGGTCCTTGCTGTTTATGAAAGACTGGCAGGTCCGAGAAAGAATACCTATTCTCTCTCACCAGGACCCCACCCCCAAACCCAACTTTTTTATCTGGAAGGCAATAGTGCTTGTCTTGTAGGTTTGTTTGGGAGAGCAAATAAGATTGGCACGACCAGCAAATGATAGGACTAGTCTCTCTGCCCTGATCTCATGCCTCTCATGCCCAGGTTCCCTATAGTACCTCTGTCTCAGGATGTGGCTGAGGCCAGAGGAGTGAAGGGGCTCCAGACCAGCAGCACATAAGTACAGGTTCAGAGTTGAGAAGCTGAGACCTCACTATTATGCTGTGGCGTCTTTGCCCACTTGGGAGCACATAGAGACTAGAAGGCTTCTACTGCTGGGGTAATGTTCCAGCTCCACCCAACTGTAAGACTCAGACACAACCCAACTGAGTCTGGATTCCAGATGGGCTGCAGAGCTACCCTCACCCTGGGCTGCCGGAGGATGGCTGCTGGTGTGCATGTGCAGGTCTGTGTGTGTCCATGTAGCTTCATATGCATCTGTCTGTGTGGGCCTGCTCCCCCCTGTGTGGTGTGTGTGTGTGTGTGTGTGTGTTAGTGAACAACTTGGGTGAGGGGGGTTGAGGTCTCTATTGAATGCATATTGCTGAGTGTGTATATGTGCATGCAAGTGCGTGAATTATAGCATATCCACCTCTGAGTGTGCCCACATGTGTAGAGGCCCTGCCTGCATGAATTGCTCTCTGTTTCCACATGTGCACCGCGTGCTTTGCTCTCTGGGTGTGTCTGCCTGACTTGGCACATCCTTCTCTCTCGGGAGCACCAGGCTGGTGTTCCCCTGCCAGAAACATCTTCTGGATTGTTCTGCTGTCTGTGGGAGCAGAAGGGCAGAGAGACACTCCAGCCCTGGGATCCAGCCCAAATCATGAGCAGGAAGCCAGGATACCACCTCAGAGGGATAACTGAGCTCTGCCCAGCTTGGGCTAGCTCAAGAGACAGTTCAGAGACAGCTCCTGTCCTTCTGGGCCCCATCAGGAGAGGGAGCAACACCCCTACAGCTGGGGGTCTGTCACTGGCCCTCCCCACCAGCCTTGGAGCCCAGCAGACGCGCCCCCCTCCATGCTCACTCCCTGGGAGGCGTCTGACACATGATTTATTCATAAAAAGCCATTATTTGTGCCAAAGAAGAACTGAGCTGCTCGCTTTTTAAGTGCCGATAATGCTCTCAGCCTCCCTCCCCTTCCTCCCCTCTCTCACCTCCTTCAGACTTCCTATCCTCTCTCCTCCTCCCCTCTCTTCCTGATCCCCCTGTCTTCTGTATTCCTTCCTTGTTCTCATCTCTGCTCCATTCTCTGTCCTCCTTCCCTCTGGCCTTACTCAGTTCCAGTATGCTGCTTCTTTTCCACCATTCAGGGAATAAGGCAGGACACCACCTCTCTGCCAGTGCCTGTCTCTTCAGGGCCATGGGAAGGTCTGGCAGAATGAGGACAGGTTGAGAAAGGAGAAGGGTCACAGGGAATTGTCCTAACTCCCTGTGAGCTAAGGGTTGTGACTTTAGTCTCCCCAGTATGAGCATAGGCTTCTCAGAATTCCAAATAAATATTCTCTCTAAGTGAAAACATTGCACTTGGAATGCAAATGAAGATTGAAAGCAAACCCCCTAGGACTCCTTTCCTGGCCAAGAATGCCCCCAAGCTCTCTGTATAGACATTCTGGATGTGGTCATTCAGGTGGTGCCAAGAGAGGCTGGCAAGGAGAAAGGCACCTGGGCCCTGCCACAGGGACAGGAGGTAGCAGAACATGCTCCCAGATGGCAGCCTGGGCATGGCCACACACAAGGTTCTTAGAAGCTGACATCCTAGATCCACATGTGTGTGACCTCATGCTTGCACGCACGTGTCTACACACACACACACACACACACACACACACACACACACACACACGCCTGCACTCAGTCACCCACTTCCTATGCAGATGGAGCGCCCTTCTTTTCGCTCCCCACCCCCACCCCCAGCATTTCTCTCTGAGCACCTGCAGCATCAGGGGCTGCAGTGCCTTCCCCACCTAGACACCTGTTCATTCATTCATGCATTCATTCATTCACCTCATAAACCTTGCTCTTGCAACCCCTGTGTCTTTGCCAGCCTTTGTGCTAGATGTTGGGTGACACAAACCAACAGGATTGACACTAGGGAAGGGAGCTAGAACAGAAGGGCTCCTGCAGGCCCTCCCCTGCAGCCTTGGTCTGGGGGCTGGGGGCCCAGCAGGCGAGGGGTTAAGTCATTTGGCATCCAGAGCTGGAGCCATTAGGCCTCCTAATTATGAAATTATCGAGGTCCTCAGGTGACTGCTAATTTCACACACACTGTTCCTCTCACGGCTAATGAACGCCTGCAGAACCCACGCCTTGTCTTTCCTGCTGAACGGTGACCTGCAGTTAATGAGCTCAGGAAGGCAGACAGGCCACCGGCTGGGAGGGTGGGGCGACAGGCCCGAGGACGGGGCCACTAGCCCCTTGGGTCCCTTTTGCTCCCCTTGCTGGCTGCCAGCCCTAGTGAAGACTTCAGGACCCAGGCTCAACACAAGGGTCCTTCGGGGCAGGCTCGGTCTGGCTGTTGGTAGCAGGGGAGGGATCCTAATCCAGGGAGAGCTTGTGTCCTATGATACCAGAATGAGTCTGGAACAGCGTGAGGCAGGGGGACTGAAGTGAAGGATACACAGTGGAGGATCAGTTCTGCTTTGTTTCAGAGACATGCCAGAGACATTTAGGGAAGGGGGCGGTAAACCGATAGGTTTAGAGGATAGGGATTGGTGGGAGTGAGCCCGGTCATCCCTAATACTGGAG